GGCACAGAAACAATTATTGTGTAAAACCATGACTGGGTTCACAATTAACATTCTCATTAAATCGATGCCTATCAAAGAACATCAACACCTTCCACAATGCAAGCAATTAATTATTGTCCGTGACGTCACATAACTTTCAACTAGATAATACTATCCTTGACAATTGGCCGCTTTTAAAGGCAAGCGGGCTAACCCAGATTTGTCAGGTTTCCAGAAATCTTAAGCTACACCAAAAGTGGGCATTGCCCTACCAACATGAGAAGTTTGGTTTCATGGCTGTGTACATTTGTTTAGTTAAAGAGAAAACTCTCCATGTCTTTTTAAAGAAACTGAACAAAGGTACCAAAGTTTTACTTTGGATTTTTTCAAAACAGCATTTTTCGGGATAGCCCCCTTGTGCTTAATAAAAGCGACCAATTCAACACCGTGTGGGTATGAACACACCATCCAGTAATACTGACTTGTTCACAAATTACGACAAATGAACTAACAGAATATTAACTTCGACACCGTGTTATCATACAAGATACGCGCCATAATAATTCCAGGATGCGACAATAGTGATTCTGACATCTCCACGTCACCCTCCCCCCAAACCCCCCTTCCCCAAAATATCCAAACAACAACAACAACCAAAAAACAAAAAAACAAAAAACAAAACAACAACACACCAACAACCCCTCCCTTTCCCTTCACCCCCTTCCCCCAAACCTCTTCTTCCCCCTCCCCCTCGAATCCCTTCTATTCCCTCCCACCCCCACCCAACCCCCCACCCCTGAAACCACAGGGCCTGCTCGTTAACCCCTTTTATTTCAGTCTAATTCAGCATCCAGGTCCTTCACATCGAAGTTCTCCCATTTTGACCCACAGGCAGGAAAATAACATTCTTACCAATCTGTGGGTTTTCCCAATAAACATGTCTGGGGGAGAGAGGTAGGTGGGGTTATAACAGACTCTGGTGGGCGGCTTACAGAAACTTAATTAAAAAATAAAAACAGGGAGTATTCGCTCTATCTAGCGTAGTGGGGAAAAACTTGGTTTAAAAAATAAATAAAAAGCAACCACATACAACAACCCGAAAACATTTTTAACGAGATATATACATTATATATAT